GAGTGGCTTCGGCGGGTCGAGCTCGGCCTCGGCCGCCGAAGCCACTCGCGAGGGTTTTCCCGCCCAAGACCCGCGTTTCTGAAAGTCACTTACCCAGCAGCTGAGGAAAGCTTTACCTTCACCTCATTATTATTTTTTTTTTCCCAGCGTCCAGACCCCCTGAAAATAAAATTTCTCTGTCCAAACCTGCCACAGCGTTTAAAACCTCAGGGTTTTAAAAACAAAACCAAAACACCAGGTACTAAATAAGTTACACACACCTGTGTGCGATAGGCTAGAGACAAGACGTGGGATGGCTGCTCTCATTTTTTCTTGTCCCCGACCAAAACACTGCTTTATTTAACACAAAAACACGACAGTGTTTGCCTTCTGTTACCTGCAAAGCTGCCTGGCAGGGCTGATGCCCAGCATCACCTACGTTTTGGCCTCAAGGCCTTTACTGACTGCCATACAGACGCTTAATTTTAGGTGGGTCAGTCACGTTTTGTCTTTAAGTGACACTGGTGGTGGGTGTGAAAATAAGCAATGAGTATTTTCAGCACTAGGATTTGTAACTTACTCTCTAGGGAGCCACAGGAAGGTTGCCCAGCTGTTGGACATACCTTCATTTTAAACACTGCTGGTGGGCATGGTAAGAAAAACCTGCACCTGCAGTTCTCTGAAAAAAAAATTAAATTCGGGAGAGAGAGTGAGGAGGAGTAAAACTGCTGGAAAGCCCGGTTTTTAAGTTCAAAAGGCATCTCCTCTGAAGCCCAGAGTTGGAAGGCTTTGTTCACCACCACAGCAATCCGATCGAGTTCCTTTTCATTTGAAAGCTGAGCCAGCCCTGGAGTCGTGCGCTGTCCCCACTGATTCGGGATGGAGAAGCCTCCATCTTGAGATGGAGAAGCTCCTCTTGGGATGGGATGCCTTACTTGGGACGGAGAAGCCTCTTTGTCCTTAAAGTCTTTACGTCCTCTGGACATGCTCACGTTCCTCAGAACTGTCAGTATGACGTAGTGTAACTCTCTGACATTGATGGTGCACGTTATGGGTTTTGCTCTGCATTCCATACTGTCCTCTCGCCCGCATCACGGCCTCCCATTTTCCAGGATTAGGGGCTCTGTTTTTCCCCTACTCCTTTGCAGGCTGGCACACCTCCTTGCTCAGTTCCACCTCCGCCTTCCTTACTTTCTGCCTGCTATGCTGCTTTCATCGTTCCACATGCTATCTATCTGGCCCCCTTCCCATATGATACTCTGTTATTTCAGAGTTTTTTTGCTTCTTTCCTTCTAGCAGCTTTAATTCTGACAGTGGCTTCTTGCTTTCCTTTTCCCTGCTGCAATATTGACCCACAGTCAAAGTAGCAAGACCAGTAGTAATCTGAGTTTCTGTCTGTCTGCAGGCTTTTGTGCTTTCTGTTGCAGTGAAGGGGAATATATGGTTCTTAACGGTTGAAGAAAATAAATATCGGGATAATAAACCGGCATGTTACAGCTGTAATAGGATAAAAATAAATCGATGCACTGCACTACTAATGGATCTGCAGTCACCCAGGTTTAAAATAACTAGATATAATGTATTATCGTCAATGGTGTTCATGCTTTTACACCTTTTTCAGCATTAACAATAGTGATGCCGTATCAGCTACCTAATATGGCAGGAAGAACACAGTTAGCCCAGATACTTGGCTAGTCTGTGAAACCTTTGTTTGCAACAGTCACTGGCAGTCTGTGGGGGGAAAAAAAAGTCTCTTTTAATATGAAGGCTGTTTACCCTTTATGGTTTTGGTCTGCTGTTTTAGAATTATATCACTAATTTCTAATGTCAAACATGACAATCAGCATGACTCTGGAAAAGCAGCGATGCTTTATCATATATAGTGCAATGCACAAATAACCTTCTGTACTGTTCAGCTGCTGGAGTTGCCAAGATTCGTGTATTCCTCTTAGGACAAGGGAGGAGGTCTGCTAGCCACATGCAGTGGCTTTGGAGAAGCTGATGGGGGGGGAAGGCGAAAGGGAAATCAAGGTATAGAGCAGGAACTGTCCGTTGATGTATTTTAGGACTAGGAAGCTATTGTTATCTCTGGCTTCCCTCTTAGTTAAATTACCGTTTAAGACAGGTCTGTGGCAGCCTGGTTTAACCTGTATTGTACTGCTGCTTTTTTACGTGCTAACACTGACATTGGGCTTCCTGTTGCTGGTGGAAGCCTTCTAAGAAAGCACTCAAATCGTCACGGCTTACCATGAATACACTTACACAGTTTCCTCCTGGAAATTCCAAAAGCCTTTTTCAGGTCATGTACATTTTGTTCCAAGCAACCCGTAAGGCAGACAGTGGGTCATCTGAGCATTTCTACGCTGCAGAAGCGTGTCGTCTGCCTACGCTAAGATGTCACCAATGGAGGGGAAAATACTTCTTCACAGAAGAAACCCAAATGCGTAGAGAAGACAGACAAGATATGTGGCTTATGAACTTTTAACTTCTAGGATCATAGGAAAACACACAAAAGAATAAATTTTTTCTCAGTTATATTTATTTGAAAGACCTTAAGCTTTTTCTTAACAGCTTAGATGAAAACTTGCATGCTTATATCTGATTTTGAACACTTAGACAATTCAATTAAACAGAATTTTGAAAGCTCTGCACATGCATTAGATACGTAAAAGCCAATGTTAATTCACACGTAACAGGCAACTTACCTGGCAAATATATTTGTGTCCTTCGAAGGCAGGTGCCTGACAGAAATGCTGAGGAAGCAAGCACGCTGTGCAACCGGCTCTCACAGGCACCGCCGGGCCTGGAGAGATGCGAGAGGGATGCCCCAACGGGTGAAATGTGCCTGAGCCCTGCTGACAGCCACCACCGCTCTCCCCTCCGGGACAAACCCAAAAAGAAGGGCAGCAGCACAGGGAACCCGCCCTTGCTGGTCCGGTAGGGCTCAAGATAACCCCGTGCTGCTATAGAGCTGGTTTGGTCCCCTGCTGCCATACCGAGTTTGAAAGCACTGTACCTCCAGGTTTTTTTGACAATCACAGCATCTCTGTTAGGTTGCTGGTTCCTGTTATTCACTCTCTGGAAGAGGCAACATGGAACTCCCTGCTAGAGGCAGCATCTTTCAGTGCTTTCTGGTTTTCAAGATACTATAAACAGCATTTCATTTTCTTTTAATTATTCGTTCGATCCTTAATACCTCACATCATTCCGATACTTGTTTCTGTCTAGGAACCATTTTTAAATTAGTATGAAATCATACTCAGGACCAGATCCAAGTACCATTAATGTTCGTGAGAATCCTTCAACTGAGCAGTTGGCTGGAAGTATTTTACTTCTCGATGCAACAGTGAGATGTTACATGTATTTATGTATCTCTGAGTTGCAGCTATTTAAGAGCAGATAGATTTAAAAATAAACATCATTCATTTCACAGACCAGATGCATCTCCTTCTTCGGAATCTCATTAATTTTTACCAAAAATGCTAACACGTGTAGCTGCTGCCAAAAGCTATTGGCAAACAATAAAAATACCCCAACACTGAACGGTTTCCTCAAGTGACTCTTCTGAGCTTTCTTCCAATCTGGAGTGCAGAATAGAAAGAGACTTAAAAGACTTTTAAACGGTTTATAGTTTTTTCATTTATTGTAGAAAAGTTATTGTAATGCAGTTCATTTTTGTACACCTAAAGTCCATAAAACAAATCCATAGAAATGAGGATACCATCAGCATGCAGTCTGCATTTTCTTTTTTAAATGATTCTGATCACAAAAATAACAACACTTTTTTTTTTCTTTGAAAGCCACTAAAAGCAGAGGGAGAGCAAAGCATGCAACACTGTACACATTTGCATAGTATATTTTACCCAGCATGCCTTGTAGAATGCTACACATACAGTAACTACAGAAGTAAAAACAGAAAGGGGCAAATCAGCAGAAAACACGAATTTGTGGTTTTGTTTTTTGTTTTTAATTAGTAAAGGCAGTAATGTCTTTACCAGTGTGACTCTGAACTGGCTCCCAGTGAGGCTGGAGGTAGCACTGCCATGCTCTCACTGGGAACCAGTTTGGGTGAGAAACAGAGATCTTCTGGGATCTGAGAAGCCCAAGGTCCGTAGTTTGCAGTTTGAATGGCTGTTTTCATCTTCTTTCTTCACCCCTCTATTTCTGCAGGCATACATACAATTTGCATTTTGCTTGATTTTCTTCCTATGCTGTTCTTGTACAACATCACTGACTTTCTCTCTCCCTGCAGGAGAAGAGAATCAGGCATGTTTCAAATGTAAATACACCTTGGGCCTAAGCATGCATTCCTTAAGCTTACTTTCCTTTACATTTTAAATTCTCAGCAATATCAGTGGAAGTTTTGGGTGGACTCGTCCACAGCTCTGAGGGTGTAACATCCTTCTCTCCCCCACCTCCCCGTTCCCATACACAAAAGCAAGTAGCTCTGTAGCCCCAAGAACTTACTTACTGGGAGTGTTTCATTCCCGACCTTGGGCTAGTAGTGTATTCATGGTATATTCATCAGTCATATGCCAAAATCTATACATTGGCCAAAATTATAAGTTATTAATATAATTTCAGCTTTGAGGAGGAAATTAGCAGAAATGAATGCAGGGGACTTTCTGATTTTAAAAGGTTGGGTTTTTTTTTCATTAATTAATATGGAAGGAATACAAGTTATTGAAAAATCAAACACATATGCAAAATGCAAGGCTTAGAAATAAACTGCTGAAGTATCAGACAGCAAGTTAAGCTGATCAAAAATGCAATAAATCCACTGACGCTGGATCAAAAATCCACCCCTTTTTTTCAAAAATACAATGCCAAATGCAATAGTGGAATTATTGTAAATTTGTGCTATTACAAATGTGCTTCTTTTCCCTTGCTCTGTTTTTACATCATTGGCAAAATATATTATTCTGTACTGTACAATATATTTTCTCACTGTATTGATTTTCTACTGCTTATACAGAGTAGAAGCAATATCAAAGGGGACTGTGGCATTAAATTTAATTACATTTTGTTTTTCAGGAAATATTGATAAGGCATATGATAATCAGTATGTGACATTTATGGTCAGACCTTGCAAATACTGACTTTTGGAGAAGACAGTAATAAACACTGTGTCCAGTAGTAGGTGTCTGTAGGATCTAGTCCAGAAAGTAACTCACTGCCAAGGAAGTTGAGGGGAAAAGGCAAGTCTACTAAACATCACCGAGACTGAGCCAATGCTACTCCCAGTTTCACCGCTTTCAAAGGAATAAAGGACCGACACACCGTTATTAACATTTTAAAATGATTTCTACCTTCTCCCAACATTCTCTATATGGATTCAGTTACAGTATTTCTCTTGACTTCTTAAATGGATTCCACAAATAATGAGACAGATCTTAACACAGATTTCAATACTAACTAGCATTTTCAGCTCTTTCTCCAAGTTAATTCCCTACATATATTTTACAACATTATTAAAATGTATCTTTATTTTTAAAGACATACCTTTATTTTTCTATATAAAATAAATCAGACTTGAATAATAATCTAACAAAGGTTATTCAAATGACGACTCTTCAAATAATATACTCTCTTTTGGCATAATTTTAAAGATAGTGGGAACTTAATTTCCCCAGAGTTAAAATTGGCTACATTGCAGTATCTTGCAGTCTTGTTACTCTTTGTAGAACCACTATTTGAGGGAATGAGGGGTAACTGCATCAAAACGCATGGTAGTAGAACCAACCCCCTGTATCCAAACCTGTATTAATACCAACTGGGGTAATATAACCCGATTTTAAAATACACATTTTTAGGAGCGAAAACAGATTTGTAGAAATGGTATCTTACAAAAATGCATCTGATTTTTTTCATCTGTGGCCTCCAATTATTTTTGCTTTAAAAATAAATTAAGACCATGGAATCAAGGACAGGCTTCAGAAGCACTTAATTTGTAAAACAAAATATAGCAGAGGACACGTTTAATACACTCCTAAAGAAAAAGTGACTAATGAAAGCCCTAACTTACTCAAATCAGTATGCTATAAAGTAATAGTATTAGCAATATTATTCTGAGAATGGTAATGTCAGTAAAGATATGAGATTCTGGGGCATTTCAGAGAAGTCTACGGTATTGAGACCAAACTGAATTCAGAAGATTTGCAGTCAAACTGAAATTGAAGCTATGGGCCTACGCACATCCAGGGCAACCACCGTCATCTTGTTATTCCTATGGCTACCTTTCCTCCTTTTTGTAATTTTCACTCTCTTAAGTACGTATTAAACATTATTTTAAAAGCAAGGAGCACAAAAGATTAAACCCCCAAATACCAACTTCAGAAGCAGCTTTCAAACCTGGAGAAAACACAGTAAAACGTTGTTCTATTTGCAGCAAACCCAACACTAACACTGTGAGGACGATCACTGCAAACGTGTCCGCCAAGTCACAGAGCCACCTCCAATCCCAAGCACACTTAATTTATCTGGGTCCATCAGAGTTAAGTCAAAAAGACATGGTATTAGAAGCAGGCTGAGTGCCCAGTAGCTGAGAAGTAGTGTGATTAGCAAGAGGTAACAGCACTCGCTTCAGAAACTGCTCTTGCTGATCAAGTACAAAATCAGGGGCACCACCTGATTTCCATGGCAAGATGATTTTTTCAGGATAAAATCTAGGTGTGGGGCCACACTGCACTATCAGTTCTCAAGCAGAGGAACCGATTTTTGCCAGACTGACCTGTTTAGAAAATGATCATCTAATTTGGCCCATTTTTTATAAACTAGAAACTGTTATACAACAGCTTTAGTTGCATTCCTTTAAACATTAACTGCATAATATACTCGAGTTAGAAAACATCATCAGTTGCGATAATTGGGATAAATCTTCATCTATGGAACTAGTAAAAGAACCTGTACATCTGCTAAATACAACTTGTCAAAGTATTTTAAATTAAAAGTTTAACAATTAATTGTCTTTAAAGTGGCTTCAGGATTGTTGAAGTACTTTGTTCATTCATTCGTGAACATATGAATGCACTGAAATATATTGTCTTTAGATATTACAATTGTTGTTACCACCTTTATTGGTTAAATGGTCATTAATCCAAAAGTGTCCTAATGAAAAACTCAGATAACAGCAACAACAACAACAACAAAAACTTAAAAAAAAAGTTTTTTTTAGAAACATTTCTAAAATCCTCTGTATAAGCCAGAGCTTAGGAACAGAACTCCAATCTTTAATAATATTTTAATAACAAGAAGAAATGGTACGAGGACTGCAAAATTAGTCTTACTCGTATTCATTCAGGAATACATGAACTTCACAATTTTATATAGCGCCATTGCATAATAAATCACAACACAGCTGGCTAGCATTGCTGAAGTTCTAATGCAAATACTATGAGTTAGCATGTCCTCATCAACATTGCAGCTTTTACTGATTACCATGTTTCCTAAAAATAATTTACTTTTTAAAATAAAAGAGTTCCCATAGCTTGTATCTAGAATAAAGTAATAATCTATTAGCATGTTCGGTATATTTGTACTTAAAGATATATCTATCTTCAAAGAATTAAAAAAACAGCAAGCAAGGAAACCTGCTGGATCACTTATAACTGGTTTCTTATATTAAAATGGAATGGGCAGTGGGAGAGGAGAGAGTAAACTAATTACATACAAGAGTAAAGTAAACTTAAACCCACATAATAAAGGAACTCAATGTGGTCTTTCAAGACAATACATGACTTCCCTCACAAGCTTGTTTTTATTAGAACAAAGAAAAGTAGTTTTGGCACTTCAGATGCTGCAGGTGATGGAATTTGTGCATACGTGTTGTGTAGATCTTTCCCTTTACTAGCATGACATGGAAGACTTAAAAACAAGGCTCCAAAAGGCTCTAAATGACATTTTTGTCTAGGAAATGATAAAGCAGTAACCTTGTTTACTAGAAAATATATGTAGGTGCTTTGCAGCTACCTGCCATTAAAATGCAAATATCTTCAAGCAGTTAAATGATCTGATCCCTAATGCTACTACAGAATAAAGATAAACAGCTGTCTAATCTAGGTTTATACATCTCAGTGCATCCTTTGCAATTAATACTTTAATGCACACAAACAAGAAACTTATTAAAGCTTATAGAAAAAATGTTTTGCCTAATGCCTTCTTTCTCATGCAGGTATGTGTGCTGTACATGTAACAAAGACTTGTAAAAATTACTGGAGAATGCTCCACTGTGCTATAGCAGACAATATTAGAGAAGGCAGCTGAAGCTACCATTCCCAGACCAGATCTTGCCATGCCTTCTCAGCCTAAATGCTCGTTTGGAATCTGCAGGCATTCAGCCTGAGAAAATCAAACAGGATCAGGTCTGTCATATCCATTCTTAACTCTGTTACTCCAATGGATGCAGATATTTTCATTTTTTTTTCTCGGTAACTGGCCCATTCGAATCATCTAGTGGTGTTGAAGGCTGCCTTTCAGGCAGTGAAGTTGTTTAAAAAATTAATCATGCATCCGCAATCTTTTAATGCTGCTAGAGATGTACATCATTTTTGGTTGTACCAGATACGAGATGAATTACTTCTCCTATTGTTAACATCAAGAAGATAACCAGACTCAGCAGTGGTGAAAAATACCAGTGATCTTTGCTAACTGGTCCAGAAAGTAGAAGAAACTGTAATATTCAGGAAATTCATTTAGTGCTACATGCTTTTAAAGCCTACTTTTAGCAGGCTTTGGGAAGAAAATAAGCAAATATAAAAGTTAATGATCCTCATTTTTGAAAAAAATAATGATGACGTGAACCTGCATAAAAAAATGCATGTTCAGCATAGTTCTGTCAATTTTAGAAAATGCATGCAGTGGGGAATTTCAGGAGTCTCTGCTTAAAGACATTAGTGGGTTGTACAAAACGGTCAATTATGGTAAATTTTTCAGTCACATTGGATCTAAGGCTTCACTGATCATGTAAGACATAAGGTCCAAAAACATAAATTTATCTATTTGAAGAAACTGACGACTCAGTAGGTGAAAAGAAGTGATTGTTAGGAAGTAAGGCAGCAATATCTCCAAAGATTTAGCATAGTTCTTTGAATCAAAACCATCAGCTCTACGACTTGACTGTGAGCAGATTTTTTTCTCATACTCCATTTTTATTGCAAGCTAATTCTGACCAATATGTTATTTTAAGTGTTTATCTTTTACAAATATTTAACCCCACTCCCTTCCCTCAGATTTCAATACTGAAATTTGAACTGATCTTCTGGAGAGTTCTTGTGCGATGCTGGAATTTTCAGACATTCAAAGATGGATTTTGAAAGATGTAACATATAAGTAGGTACTCAGATGTACTGGAATGTAGGTACTCTACACACTGGGTAAGAAGAGTGTATTGTTTTCCATTTAAAAAGGCAGAATACTAAAAATGGGAGAAAAAATATTATGTATCTATACACTAATGTTCCATTTTGGGAATACTAGCTGTATTCAGGTAAACGAGAAAAAAAAAAAGACTATTCTCAACCTCTAACCATACAAACTATTCTTAAGGTTGTTCATTTTCCTGTTTCTATTTCCCCTTATCCTGTCACAGTTCATCATTGCTGACCACAACAAAAATGTCAGTACTGGCTAAACTAAAGAAATCATTTTGCTGCAACATTCATGCCAGGTCTAAAAATAATTTCAAACTGGAAAGTATTTTGTAACTGCTGCAATAATTTGTGATATTTGGCACTCTCAATAGTTTACATTTGGTTTGTCTGAATAAGCCATTCTGGAAATAAGTAGTTAGAATAAATCCTTTTATTCTAACTTCAAATGTAAATTGAGCTTCCAGCAAACAAATACTGTAGCTGACTTTCTGGCTTCTAGTGGTTTGTAATTTTCAGATTTTTCTTTTTTTTTTTTCTTCAATTGATTGCAACATGCTCAAGTCGACTTTCCAGTCAATTCACCCAAATTCCAACAGGAATTGGTTTATAAATTGGTTCCAACTGGAACTGGTCACTTGGAATTTCCAGCACAGGAAATTATGTTATAAGTGCCTTGATAAGTACCCTAAATTACAAACGGATGTGTCTAATATCTAACAACAAGAAAAAGTATGGCTATAAATGCAAATGCTGTACTAAAAAAAAAAAAAAAAACCAACCCAAAAAACAATCTATATGATCGGGCATAAACATAAGGGCATGGTAACTTTTTTTTGCCCCCTACTTAACATCAAATGACAGCAGAGTGCAACTTCAGTATAACCGCGTTACACCTGCCAAATTAAGATGATTTTTTTTTTTCCTAGCTACGTTATGGCAAGTTATCAACTGATGAATACTATTTTTCCCCAGGTTCTTGAACTCAAAGCCTGTGTCGTGAATCATGGCTATATCCTCCAGGGGATCCTCGGTTCCTATGGGGTTTGTAAGTGTCCTGGTACGAGTCAGAGTATTCTTCTTCCACTAGAGGATAGTGATCTCGGCTGTGTTGGGAACTGGAAGACAAGCGGTTCCTGCTCTTCCGAGCCCTTTCGTTGTGATAATTTTCATCTGAGGTCATTAGACTTCGTCGCTCAATTGGAGAGTTCTCTGTAGAATGGCTGCTGTGCCTCATACGTTGGCTCTACAAGTGCCAAAGAATCCAAGCATTAATACATACAAAGAGTATTTTACATTTTTTAGCTTGAGACTTATTCTGAGGTCTTTCAGAATCCATCCACTTTTGTGTTATTCATTTTATATTAAAGTCTGTATGCTACAGGAATGGGTTACAAGAATTGTCTGGTTCCTAGAGCTGAAAGCAGACCAAACACAGTATTACAATGTGTACCTTAAGGTATTCACTTTGTTAAATATCACAGGCCATTTAGCATGAAAAGTGAGCTGATGTATTCAGCATTTATCACTTTTCTCTGATCATGAACGTAACATTCATGCTTCTATTCTGCTTAGAAAATTTTGAGCATTGATTTATGTGGTTTTAGAAAACATCTGAAGATGTTTCTTGGATTTTTGTTTGTTTGTTTGTTTTGTTTTTTTTTTTAAAGGTGCAGCTCTGAGCCTTATTTAAAAACCTTCATATGACCAAACAAATGATGGACTCCTAACCAGGCAGCTAAGGGGTGGCTAAAATTATTAGATATGAACAAATTCTTTCAACTAAAACATAATAAATACTTTAAATATGTTGACAGAAAATCCTTTTCTAAGATAATTTATTAATTAAAAGGTTTAGCCTTTGCTATCCTCACGTTCCTGTAATGATAATATGCTACATTTGTCACATGAACAAAATTAGTTCATATTTTTTGCCAGTGAACTGGCACAATGAAGAAATAGCCTAAAAAAAATTTGTTTGCTGTCATCACACATTAAACCTCTCAAAAGTATACCCATCCATACTCTCAGAACGAACCCGGTCAATACTTTTCCTTCTCTAGATTACACACCCAATGTCATTCTTCTGATCCTGTAACTGCCAAGAGAATGCTGCCGCGACAGTTGCACTCTCGTGGCCTCAGGTTCCTGCGCACAGACAGCATCGTCTGCTCCCCTCAGTTCTGAATTCTGGCCGATGCTCTCTGCGCTATAAAACCTTCCTCCTATTGCTACACCCTCTCTGTATGGCAACTGTTCAGCTGCATAATTTATAACAAAAGGCTTGTCTGCAAGGGGAAGTAACTGTGCAGAAGGGTATACATTTACAGCACAGCAGATACGATGTCGTATCTCTTTGTGTGGATCGATGCTACCAAGGTTATTCACTGAGAGATTCCACATAACGAGCTGGTGTGGAAAAGTGCCCTTCTGCAGATTCACACACTCAGCTACTGGGTAGCAACTTCTACCACATTATCCCCAAGTTTTCCTTATAGCATCCTGTTTTAGTAGTGATTATATGTCAAAGTCCACATATTTTCTTCACAAATATACTTCCCATATTTATTTGACCTAGACATGCAATTTTGATATATAATCACCTAATCAGTTGCAACTTTAACTTTCTGTGCTCACACCCTCTATCTTCCCTGTAGTAATTTACCTCTCTGGCTGCAACCTGCTCCTTTCTAGAAACCTTCCTGTTTCCCTGCCTCGATTGTGTAGTCGTTCTGATCCCGCTATTAACCTCCCGAGAGGTGTAAGCATGGCATAAAACTGGTGTGGTTACGTGCTGGTCTTATGCCCCAAATAACTTTTGATCCTGCAGTGCAATTGGAATGATAAGCTGCATTATGTTTTCTGCAGTAACAGACTTAAAATGCAAATCCCCTGGAGCCTAAGAAACACATATCCCCAAAACTTGAACTACAGGATTTAAGTCCATTCTCTGAAATTAGACCAAACTGTATAGGTTTAGAGCTACCCAGGGATTAGCTACAAAGGCAAACAACTGGCCCCTAGGAGTCAGCAATGACAAAATTTACTCTTCCTATTGAGGACTGCAAACACAGAGCTCAACATCAACATCTGCCCCTTTTTGGCAAGGTCATGACCAAGGATCAAATGACCACCGGATTTGGCAGGTGTACCACACACGGTGTGATGGGATACAGCTGGAGCATGCTGTCACCTGTACCCTCTCTTTTACTCTGACTCTTCTGTATCTATGCCATTTAATTTCACCCTGATGACCTTTGTGAAGCCCAAAGACTTAAGTTAAATCAGTAGTTTCGATCTTCAGTAAACTGAAGTCCAGGCCACAATCAAGTAAAAAAGGAATACTCCTAAGTCCCAATTAGATGAAGTATGTACAGATTGTCCCAGCAAATCTGTATCATTCTCAGGTGTGACTGTTACACGAGGCTCTGGGCTTTTGGTATTCAGCTCTCCGAGGTATCAGGCAAGAAGGAGTCACAAGGTCATAAGAAGTATAAATTCTTAATGTATCATAAGCACCTAAGCTAGTTTAATTCCTAGGATTTGCATGAGTGCTTTGTAATTACCATACCACATCATTACAGTTAAAACTGATTCAAATCCTTCCGAAGGCTTGAATTAGTATAAAACCTCTAGGTGGATAAGCACTTCAGATGATGGAAGTCTTTACTGCAAGATAACCATGTAAAACACCAGAACTCTTTAAATGGGCCTGAACAGTTAAGTGGCACTGAAAGCCAAATCCTGCAGTCTCTAGTTGGGCATCATTCACTCAGGGAGAAATTTACCCCTCTGCAGAGAACTAGCACCATTCAAGTCCCACCTAAGCCTTCACAATTAGGGTGAAGTGGGGATTAAGTGATGCATACCTTCAGCCAGCCCACTGCACAGGGGTGATTTTCATCTTCAGTGTGAGTTTTCCCTAAGTAAATGGAGCAACATTTCACAGTTACTGCTGGTGTCCATTGATCAGAGAGAAATAAATGCCTGAAAAAAATTCTGTGGATACACCCAGTTTTCAAAATGAAACTGAAGAGGTGAAAGTTCTGCAGATGGCATTTTATTGTCATGAAGGGATGGAAAACTGAAATTTTAAGGCAAGTGAAAATGGAAACAACAGTTTACATGTGCATGTTATTAGTAATAGAACAGTGCTTGTGCATTCAGCCAGTCAGGAAACAGTGGCTTACTGATCCTAATAAAATCAAGCACAGCATTAGAAATGTGAATATCAAGTATCATGCACCTTCAGTGAAGTGCAATTCACTCACAGAAAAAACAGCTTTATGTTAATTGAAAACACTGAACAATGCATCATTTCCTTAAAAATTGTTACCTGCTTCCAGATACTCTACAAGCAGAACAGAGGTTACGTTTGTCAGGTGAATTATTCATTAAATGTAATTTGCTCAACTCTACTTTTGACATACATTAGAAAGTGCACACTCCTAGAAAGTCACACACATACAGAACTCCTTCTGAAACTTTCAGACTTAGAAGTTCGCTGCAATCCTGATCTTCTCAAGCATTCGTAACTATTAATAAAAAACATTTTCTGTTTTCAAACTTAGTAAAGCACGTACTTCTCATTAAGGACTATTTACATGCCACGTTTGAAGTTTCAAAGTTCAGCCGTTTTTGAGCTATCCCTGTGGAAAAAAATGGTCAGAATTTTTTTGAATGGGTAAAAAAAATGTATTTTATTCACACTCAAAGAACTCAAAAAGGTGAAGGCATTTTGCTGATACAAGAGACAAGCATGGAAGTTTTTCACCCAAAAGTGAATGTTTTGTGAAGATATGAGGGTAGAAATAAAAGGGATCATTACAGACACTGTTCTGCATTCTTAAATACAGTAGCTGTTAGCTCAACTGCTGTGACACACTGTACATGCATATTCTCAATCTTACAGGGTCTCATTTGCAGTGATGTTTTTTCCAGGTCAAAAAAGGCCATTTTCTAATATGGCTACAATACCACTTAACAGAGTGTCATTTAACTCTTCCTCAAGAACTCACTCCTTGCCAGAAAATTTATGGCCGTTTTACTTCCCGTTAAAGAGCAAGCAGAGCAGTCACAGTGCTTCAGCACTCAGCTGACTAACTGCTTCTTCACCGATTATGGGCCTTAGCTTGCCTTCTTACTGCTGGCAGTAGCCAAACAGTGAATAATAACTAATGAAGCAAATATAAGTTATGCTATATAAGACATATTACACTATTTTCCCATAGATTAAAAAACCCCACCTGATCTGCACTGGTGTTTGGGGCTGAAATGTATTTTCATACCTGTAATCCAGAGATTGCAGCAGGATATGGTGAAAGTGCAGTGGATCCTAAATTTCGTCCAAGGAGAGGAGTCATGGGTGTGCTACTGGTGGTGTGAGTAGCACGCCAGTATGCCTCAAGGTATTCTGCCAAGTGTTCGCAAGCATCTTCAAGCTGATTTTCATCCAAAATTACATCAAACATTTCCTGATCACAACAAAGTTTGGTTCGTTACAATGTTATTGATGAAAAGAAAGAGTTGTTTAACAATTCTCATCACGCTAATCCTTTAAAATTCAGTAAATAAGAATCAGAGCACGGGATTGCAAAAGAAAGTTACACAAGTGGGCTTATAAGGTGATCAAAAGCCAAAGCTCTCAGAAGTCACTGTATCCTTTCAGCGAGGTTCACTAGACACTGCGTGAGCCCTACCACACTCAAAGGCACAAGACTCCTTTAATGAATTTATTTTGCTCTAAGATAGGAACTGAAGCTAGGTGTCAGAGTAACACAGGGGTGCTTTGCATTGGTTTTGGACCCACGGCCTCATGCATACTTCTCTCATCCTCATTGTGAACACATTTCCAGAGTGATGATGCCCCTAAAACCATTTCCACTTCAGTGAACACAGGGTGGATTTCTGTTAGCAGCAGTATTTCTGCTTCAGCAAGGCTACTGCAGGACATCCAGCCGTTCAGATACTGGGAATTCTGGGAATCAGCTGGGAATTCTGCACAGACTATCTCCATGCACTGTTTTTAAGTACCTTCATTTATGCCTATCTGGATAGTCTTACCTATCTGTTCTCAAATCTGCAAGACCATGCAGGTACGACCTCTTTCCCTGTAAAATCTGTTTACCAGGGGACAGTACCTGACCATTAGTGCAGGTCCTGGTACTTGCCTCAGACCTGCTCACCGTGCAATCCACAGAGAGGCTATTTACCAGTGAACGGGGAAGGAATTCAAAGCCATGTGGCTTCTGTGCTACCCAAGAAGTCAAAGGGACACTCTGCAGACAATGTTTTTAGATTATCAGCATGACGAGTGCTGATAACAAGCCACCATAAACTGAGTCCCTCAAGAGAAATATATACATATTTTCAGCAGTGAAATTTCACACCTCATCTTTAATCTTAACTCACACCTTAGTGGAAAAAAAACATTGTGAAAATAGCACAGGAAATGAAAATACGTGCAGGTGTTGCAAGTGTGCAGAGTAACCGATACAAACCACAGGCTGCTTTTCCTCCATGCATATTTACAGATCTATCCAAAATACATAAAGCTGACATTTATAGAATAAAACTGCATGATGAATTTATCATAAATCTTGGTCACGCATCTACCTTCCACCCAAAAGTCTGGTCCAGAACTTACTTTAATACTAAAGCCATTTTATTTAGTTTTTAATTTATTCTCTCTTACCAGCACAGTAGAGAAATGTGTCCTCCTCTGTCAGCAAGTATGAAGTTTTCTTCTAATAAGAATACCCCTAATACTACATTGTTTGGTCAAATTCAGTGTTTATTGCTGCTCATTTTGCTCCTCTATTTATCTATATCCTTCAGACCCTCCTTTGCTATTTAAACACATGTTGATAGACTACATATTCCATTATATCACTCACATCCACTTTGTGGAAGAAGTAATTCAAACGTAGTTAAGTTAGGAAATAAAAGAATGTGGTTTGCTTGCACATACTTTGCTTTGGAAAAGAAATTAAAATACTACACTTGGAATATAATATGTGTTTTCATCAATAAAAATGAATATTGTCACTTTCTGGTCTGTGACTAGTAAGCAGTTCTCCTGTGCTGCTCATTCTTTGCATAGCTGGCCACTGATTTGAGGGCAGCTCTGGCTGTCTGTACAAAACTCAACTTTGCAGGTTGCAAGGTAATTCTGTCTCAAGGCATATTTTCAGCTGCATGGGGTTTTAGCAGCAACCAGGTCAATGAATACTCTTCCAACACCCTCCAACCTCCTCCTGCTAAACTAGGGGACTGTTTCTCAAGTTTCTTTTTAACCTGGATCAGTTGATTTAGGGAGCTTACAAAATGCTGTATTGGCTTAACTGAGTGTGCTGCAAGGTGGAGGTAAGACAAAGACATTGGAGATGGAAATGCCAGTACTGGTGCCTACAGCTTCCTTTCTTAACGGAGTAAAGCTTCATGCACTTCTAAGAAATGCACAGCTAATACTCTAGCTAACATACCTAAACCACCCAGCTCTGTGACCGTATGTAGCTTCATGTGGTGTTTTGACAGTGATCTCAATTAAATTGCATTTAGGGAGAAAGAACTTTTAACAGTTGCAGTAGTACTGTCACCTTTTTAACAATTAACTGTAAAATAACACTAGGACTGGTAATGGTGAGCCTCTCAGGCTGTCATTTGAAGGTCACCTGGAAAAACTGCAAAACTGGCAGGATCCTGATTCCAGGGCTCTACAGTGTTTTACAGGGAAAATGAATGACAGAGAAAGCACTCAGGTTTTTTTCTTGCATTTAACAGTTCTGCTCATAGCTAACGTGTGTTCGTTCTATTTCTGTGTAATTGGGAGGAAAGAATCTTTTAAGGGGATCCTCGTTTGCAAGCATCATGGAGTAAAGCAATTTTCCCCGTTTTCCTTACAATTAATTTTATTCACCGCAATGTTTTCTTACAACATGCGTACAATAGTTACCATATGAGCATTTCCATATACTAGTATTTCTTAAGTGATATACACTAAAGCAGTGGTCTTTCCTGAAGAGAAGATAAAATTAGTTGCCACTGTCCTCTGCTATTTCTTTTAGTTTACTGCATAACCACTGTGAAATACTCTAGGTGCATTACCCCACGTTAGCAACACAAAATAAAATGGTCACAACTACAGAGGCATCCTCCTCGCCCACAGGAATGCTCGGGAGAGGGAGTGTGAGAGGGACTGAGCCGCAGGCATAGCCCAGAGTTAGTACAGCTAAAGGCAACCCCAAATTGCATCTTACTCTCTGAGCTCAGGGAAGGTGAGCTCAGGCTCTGGGGGAAAAGATGCCCCTGACAGAACTGCAAGGTTGGAGGTGTACCTGAGAAGGAGGAGGAATTTGAACTTGTAGATATATCTGGTGTACTGGCTATTTTTAATAATACCAACGCATTTTACTTCCACTAGAGTATAATTTCTGGTATTTTTTAGGTTATATCAAACAGACCAGAGGGATATGTACCCTCTCTTGGCATTGACATGAATCAAAAAGTTAAAAAAAAATAATCATAATTAACTGTATATGACTAGTGTATTTAAAGCTGTATGGTTAGTACAGTTCATGTTTCTTTGAGCCATATAATGTTCCTGCTTAACAGAGTCATGGAGTGATAGGCATGCTTAGCACTGGCTTGAGCAGCATCAGTGAAAGATTAGCAAGGAATTAATAATGAAAGCAGTTCCTGAACTTAAATATGCCAAAAAAGACAGCTATTTTTAAAATGTCTAGACATACAGCACCATCTGATTACTTAAGGCTGGCTCTCAGCAAATGAAAAAAAGTGAGGGTTTTATGGTTTTCAAGTACCTTCACTTTAAACAAATACTCCTCTTGCAGGAATTTGAGCTGCAAAACAGATGAAGCAGGTCACAGTGCAGAAGACAAGACAGCAGGGTCTTCAGTCTTAGCAGTATACTTTTACTGAATTAAATAATGGATCAACTTGGTCCTTTAATTTAAACTTAACCAAGACTGTCATCTCCCTTCAGGTGCTCTAAGTGAGCAATAACTTTCTTGAAACCAAGCAGTGCAAAACTGATCAGACGGTTTCTGCAGAAGGCTGTTGTGCAAGTCAGAGCGGAAGGCAGCCTCTGAGTAAGTACGGTCACGTGTTTGAAATCTGGATACCCTGAAATTTGGAAATATTTTTCTTATCCAGATGGGGTCTCGCTTTGTTGCCTTAGGCAACAAAATACAATTACAGGATTGGGTCTTAAGGGAGAGTTTACTGGATCCTGGGGATGGACAATCTAAGTGCCATGATGCAACGAACAAGCTACAACGTGCATCTTGCTGCTGCACACTCTTTATTTCAATCAACACAGCTACTTGCCTCATTTCAACTGATGTGAGCAAACCTGAGCGGAATAAGAGGAAATCGCTGTATAAAGAGCAAACAAGGCTGTGAAACATGCACAGGCTTCTCTGTGCAGGTGGAAAAATAACTCCTTTCAAATGTGAACAATGTGCAGCGGATTGTTCTGTGTGTAAGCTCAGTGACAGCTTGGTGTAAATACCACAAGCCGTATTCAAACAGGTGCAGGTGCAACTCCATTTAACTTGGCTCACACTCATTAAGTGTTAGGAAGCTATATACTCTTATAGAAATTATTTTGTACTACAGAAAAGTGTACAATTTTGTTTTAGTTGATGGCACCTGAATGGCTCACAGGAATTCTCCGTCATCATTTTAAGAGATAACAATTCAGTAGAAAATTACATGTGTGAAACATAATACAGCTGAGCTCTCCAGAAGAACTCGAGATGGCTTGAACATCTTTCAGTGCTGCTCGACGTGGAGAACAAGGATGAGACAGGGAGCAAAGTGATCTACAGTTACTGTAACCAGAAGCTTACAGGTCTTTACAGTACCACCACCAGCTGGGTGTATACGCAGTCACCATCTACCACTTTCGACAGTTAGACATCTGCAAGTGGTGCTGATGGGGCAAGAGGGACAGCAGGAGGGCGGCTGCGAAACCCACACCCGCCAGGGAAACAGCAGGCTGCCTGCGGCGTAGTGGGCACTGCAAAAAGTGTAACTGGAGAAATCGAGATACACGCGCACCCCCCCCCCCCCAGCACTTTTCTGCATTATTTAAATTCTTGCTCTGTATCAGGCATAGGAGGAATTTGAATCAGATCTCTCATTCTGGATGCGTTCTTGAACCATTCTGCTTTTAGATAAGGAGGACAGAAATTTCAGTCAAACCTATTACCTTTTTTCCTCTGCCTTCTAACATTTCAGTGTGAATCTAGCCTGAACATACACCAAAAGACTACAAAAAACCTGCCAAAATTCAAAGTTCTCACAGACCCACATCAGGAATGGAACACCTGTACAGCTTTTCTGCACAGCACCTGCCTGCCTAATCAGCTATCCAGGACCTCTGCTCCTTAAGCAGCAGGTTATTCAAGGTGAGTATCAGCATCTTTGATAAAATGGTTGGTGAGCAGTGACTGTGCCCCGATGAGGTAACTGGAACGGCTTGCAGGCGCTGCTGTGTCAGGAGGCTCGGGGATCACATGCATGCAGACACACGACTCACACCGTACAGATGGTGGGTCTGGACTCACTATGAAGCTGATAGAAAGTCCTCTGCAGCCTCTTCTCAAACCAGGATTCTGAGACTTTGGCCCTTGGGGACCTTAAGATAGCACTGCTCCACAAATGACATAATTTGCTAATGAGCTAGTAGATCGGTTTTACCATACACGTCATTTTTGACCTGTCACCTTGCCAAAGATCATAATAAGCCCAGGACGAGAGATAATCAGGATGAAACCATCAAACAACTTGTTTCTTAGCAATAAAAGCTGATCGAGGGTTGCAATTGCAGGGCTGTCTGAATCACCATAAAGTGATAACATATGAACTCAGCTATAATCAAGGACGAACACAGCAGAAATCTTTAAAGCTCCACGTATCACAAGTTCTTTAGCCTTTCTTCTGTACTTACTGGTGGGCATTGCGCAAGTTTATCAGCTGCCACCAACTGAACATTCAAGTGTTTACTTTGTGACTTTCCTCTAGATTTAATCAGTCGCTGCAAAACCTGATAGAGGAAAAGAGGAAAATATGAGTTTAAGAACTGTGTATCTCCATAAAGCTCAGACTGACATCCCATTGGAGGATTACCAAGTTCAGAAGCTCTCCATTATATTTAACACAATGGATAAAATATTTTCCTTGAATACAAGTACAAATATTTCTGATAGCCTCCCTGAAAGCTGTGCACATTTCCCTCTGCATCACATTTGATCCCTTGCAAATAATTTAAATGCAGTGCAAATGGTGATTTTGCTTTATTCTGCTTGAAGTAATAAGTTATTTTTCACAAATGTAATGTTCTAGAGGACCACGAAAATTATATATATATATACACACATACACACACACAGAATTATACTGGATTGCTGGATTGACTGTGGCACAACAGTAGCAGCATATTATGTTGTGTGGCAATAACGCTGTAACTTAACCTGTTCTGAGGTGCATTTTGGGTACAGAAGGTGTTTTACACACACAGTTCATATTACTTTTTTTTCTCCCTTCCACTGTGTTCATTACTAAAATTTAAGAGGCAGAAAAGTTAGGAATCCTAAATTATTTCTCTGTAAAGTTTCAAAGAAAATTAAAGGATCATAGAACAACAGAGTATTTTTTAAGTTGGAAGGACCTCCAGAAGTCTCTATGCCAACCCCTCACTCAAAGCAATTAAGGCCAGCTGGATCAGACTGCACGGGTCCTCGTCCAGCTGGACCTTCAGAACTCTATCCAGTTCTTCCTTTTTCCCCGTAGCAGCAGGTCCAGCAGAACTTCCCCCATCCCTTGCTGATCACCTGCACCAAGAACTGACACATAGCTCTCTGCAGATCTCTCTGATGTGCCACAGCGGTCACTCCAGCAGGTGTTGAGCAGCATCCCACCATTGCTGTGCTGATTCCATGAAAGCCAGAGTCTCTGTCATGACTCCAGGCCCCCTTCTGCACTAACAGCCATGGTCACGGAGGGGTCTGTGCTGCACTCCTGAGCAATAATCGCATTCACACTCCATGGCAGGAGCTGGCCAGCAGCCTGGCCACACTGGTCCAGACCCAGCTGTGGACAGTGTATGATCATGTCCCAGGTGGAAGCCACAGATAAAAGCAGACAAGCGTTGTTTGAGATCAACAGACAACCATCATTAACTGCCTGGGAAGCGGGCAAAGGGCTGGGTGTCTTCTCTGAAGCTCAGCCTAAGGTTAGGGCTTGCAGAGACAATCCACAACTGCAGCTGTGTTGGGGTAGGGGGGCTGGAAAGGGACTGCCAAGAGGAACTGAGAGCTATGGAAAGAATTTGCTCCTCAGGAATTTTTTTGTCTTGAATTGGTGGGTGCCTCGTCTAAAGCTCAGGTTAAGGTTTAGGGCAGAAAAAACAAATTGCATAAGACATTCCCTTGTCAAGCCCTTGATCTAAAAACTTCAATTTTTTTCTCTTCATCTCACTCCTAATTTCTTCAGGTGCAGATACCACACTGCTCACTCCCATACTGCCCTCCAGGTCCCTCTCAAATGCACGTATTTTAAGGGTGAGATATGTTACCTTTGGAGAAGACACTTTAACATGGACAATAATTGGTGCTAAAGATGTCTTGATAAGTTGTGCAGGGTGATTGATAGTGTCTGCATCTAGGACAACCAGTTGTAAGGACCTTGCCAGCTCAAAGATTCTTTCAATTTCACTCTGTACTTCAGCTAGTAAAGGAAAACAAAACAGGTGAAAGCCATTCACCCCCAAAATTACTTAAGACAAAAATATCATCACCCATTTATTTTCACAGACTGTATACATTCAGTATATGAACTCCATATGTGAATTAACGTAATTTCCATAAAATAACCTACTACTCAAGGCAGTTTTTAAAATAAATATTACCTTTGAGACAATTCTGTTGCCTGAAAATATATACATACTATGGTCCTTTATACTATCAGTGTACTTAAACATTGGGTACAATTAAATGCATGTTTCTATTAACACAAAATAGACTTAAGCATATTTTCCAAATCTGCTACACAGCTTACGAGTCATAAGATTTTTTTATTTTAGACAGCAAGTGATGTATGGATATTTCTTAAAACTTCTTTTGTTCTCAGATTGTAATTCTGATTTAACTTAAACAAGAGCCTGTATGAAAAGCAGAACTGTGAGCTCCTAATTCTATAATCACAAAAAATTGTTTATGTTAAATAATTGACAGCGTATTATTTAAAAAGGCACTAACGGCAATGTTCACACTAAAGCACTTATGTCTGAAGAAAAAGGAGATTTCTGTCCATGTAAATTACATTTCTGATATTCATTGTTCTGACCCTTCTTAATCATTCACATGCATGTGACAGATTTTAAATCAATAAACTCAGCACAAATTGAAGCCTCTAAGTTACACCACCAAAGTACAAAAGAGCTGTATGTCAGCAACTCACATGCATTTAATTTGCCTAAGAGCTGCTCCACAGAGCAACACATGTTCACAGGCACAGGAAGATTTAGTAGTCACCTTTGCAGCACTTAATTTTGGCGTGCCTACTCCTGTACTAGAATGCCAACTAGAAGTGAAGCGTCCTACGACCTACACCTCTAGTTCAAACAATCACTCAAGACGTCAGTGAATTGGGTTTAAGAGCCTTTTCTTCCTGAGAAGATTGAAAACCAACTCCTCCTACCACCTACGACGGTGTTGCAGAGACCAGGTTATTGGTCGGCATATACTACACACAAATGTCCACCCTTGTGAAAGATATAAAAATTCATCAGGCCAGTGTAACCCAGCAGTCATGGTGCTGTGAGGAGAAGGTAGGAATACCCAGAGTCTCATGGCTAGACAGCAAAATTAAGCTGTAGCTATTCAACATTAAATACAAAACCAGTCCCAGGGTCAGGAACAACACGTCTCCTTCTTGGCTGGACAAGGTTAAAGTTCTTTGGCACTTTGTGATACGGAATTAAAAGCACAGGGCTGAGAAGAGGGAGCTGTGAGGCCAACTCACCTTGGGAGGAAACTGCACTGAACCCATATTCTGACTGCAGGCCCCTAACGCATCTTTTGCAAATAATACTGCTTGCGCTCTAGCCCAGGTAATTGCTTAACGTGAGGCTAACACAGTACGTTGTGCTCTCTTGCCCTTCCTCAGTCAGGAAAAATTTGTCTCCCATTTGAATATGTGAAATTCATAATTATACATTAAAATGCTGTAGACACATTTAAAATTGCAGAACTGATGACATCTTGAAGGCTGAAATCCTGTCACTTTCCTCCAGTATGTAACCATGTTCAGAACTACATCTGTGTCAATGTCTTACCTAAACTGGATCTTGTATTTGACCGCTCAATTATTGCCCTCTTGCTTGGATTATTTAGAACAGACCTCTTAGCAAGAGAAATGTCAGCTGTCACTCTAGTTATTGATATCCTAAGAGTAAGAACACAGGACAGAACAAAAACACAGTAGTCAAATTTTCAGTGCACTGCACATGATTTACAGCTACATTCCATTCCAAAGTGCAAAGGCAATAAAATACCACTCAGACATGTTTTATAGCTGAGTTATGTCATCATTAAAGAACAACTGAAGAGAAATGCTGCATAACTGTAAAGTATTTTCTATTCCCTACACTATCGTAGACTCTGGCATATAGTTTCTGCTGTTCTACTTAATGCATTAGTTAACTTTTCTCCTCCCCAACTCACCCATCTCCTACACGAATTTACACAGTACCATAAATACTACAAGTTATGTGAGTCTTAGGGCATACAGAACAACAGAGTCATAACAGTAACAGCACTTCTCTTCCCAGTTAAACCATTGATTAAACCTGACACTGCTGAGAGGTAAGGAAAGGCGACGTCTGGACATCCGAGCAGACCATGTCACTCGTGTCTGAGTGCCTGTGAGTCACTGAACAGAGCCTCTTGCTTTGGGAGACTGCTCCTCCAACGTGTACTCTCCTTTTCCAGACAGGGAGCTGTGCAGATGGGCTAAATGATTCGGCTCATGGTTGAACAGGAGAAAAGTTAAGTTGAGCCACAGCTATGTGTACTGCTGGAGTCTCCTCTTTAACTTAAGGTAGGTGATTTTTTACTTGATCTGTCAGCAAGCTGACAAGAGACAAAAGGTTGTAAAACAAAGACCACAGAATCACTTCACTTAAAATCCATTTAGGAGGACTGTGATGAGCCAAAGAGCCATGAATAATGAAAAGAAAGCAAGCTGGAAATGACTAGCAGCTATTCCACAGAATGTAAGATTTATGCAGCTCCAAGTGAAATTATCAGACAGAGGGTTAAAAAGAAGTGCAAGTATTTTTCTATAGAATACATACATAAATTTATTGCCAGAAGACACAGTAGAGACCAAAAGTATAAATTAGTTAAAAAAAAAAAAGGGAGAAATTAATGGATCATGGGTCTAGAGGTGACGATAAAACATGATGGTCCAGATTGCACCTCTGGCTCGGGGAGCTCCTAGATCTCTTACTGCTGGAATCAGAGACGTGTAACAGAGGAAGGACCACAAATGTTCACTTACTGTGCCAGATATAAGAAGCATTTCATTCTTCCTGAGAAAGAAGTAATCCTAAGTATCACTAGTGCTGAAAGATGTTAAGAAAAAACCATGCTTTTGCTATGTTTTATTTACACGGTGTGTAGAGTCAGGCTTGGTCTATGCAACAGTGACTAAACACAATGCATTTAGGAAACGATGCCGTTAGAGCCTCTGCAGGAGCCATTCCCTGAATGCCTTGTGCCAGCCAAGCTTTAGCAGACTCCTTTCAGCAGGCCTGCACAGCACAGCCCTCGGGCCTTTCCTTTAGTTCACTGGCCAGAAGAGGATGTTGCAGTTACAAAAGAAGGAGCTGACAGAAGCCAAGTGAATTAGAGGTAGGGAAGGAGTCCTGCTAGTTCAAGCCTTACTGAAGTCTTTTGAAAAGCACCTCCCTGGACAGTCGTTTTCCTTTCTTGGTAATGTGGACCTGTCACAAAATTGCAGAAGAGATAGAAGGAAAAGGAAAAGGAGAAGAAAGGAAAAGGGAAAAAAGAATAAAGAAAACAAAAGGCGAGAGGAAGAGAAAGACTGCAAAGCCATCAAAGTTGGCAGGAGGACCAAGAAGCAGCTGAGGTGCCTGAAAAGGAATTTAATTCATTTTTCTAAAGATACTCAGAGCTAAAGTCAATTGTATCAGCTTGCTTGTGGCATTTAACTTTTTCAATGCTGGAATTTCACACTTCTACCTGATCTAGTTGCCAATATTGCTAACAGCAATAGGATTTCCAAAAAATACCTCACTTCGGGCAGGATCTCTCCCTTTAGCCCTCTGTGCAGACCAAGGCCATGGTGGGGATAAAAACAGAACAGCAAGACAAGGAGCAGTCCTGCCTCCTATCATTAATTAAGCAGCCTAAACGGGTGTGTCTAAGTGCGCTTTACATTTTCTTCTCTGTATTTAGGCACTGCTGATCTTCGTGGATCAGGCCTCCGCTGAGTACGTTCTCATATAGGGTATAAAAATATACCTCATAAAGAATATATTCATAGCAATCACGTTGTGGCAACTGGAGATGACTTATCACTTCCAGTTGCCATGGTTTCCTACCGAAAACAATAACTCTCAGTTACCACTGGCATATCCAAAGCTGACAGACATATGCCAACAGCTGGAAGAAAACATACACTGCGGTTCCATACCTACACCTAACGCAAACAGGCACCAGAGCTCATGCGCTGAGCTGCAGTGGAAGCAGAGCAGTCACACCGCTCAGGAGTGGGGAGAGGACGCACTGACAGGACGCCTGAACAGCTCAGAAAAATGACAAATTTAACTGCAGGCTGCCACGTACAGCGCTTCATCTGTCAGGTTTTAAATCAATCACTATGTTTGTAGGATCTGCTAAAATCACTTGAGCTGGGCAATTAAAAATAGGGGAGGAGATGAGCTATTTTGCACAGAAGTTGATCATTAAACATTCTGTCTAAGCTGTTTATGGGTTAGCTCAGCACTGCCATCTCCTCACTGCACCCCAAAAGGTACCTTGACCAAAAATCCTACTCCACCTCTTCTAAACAACACACACTAGTATTTTCACTGTCCTATTGCCAATGTTTTAGGTATTTTCAAACCTGACAGTGTCATATACTAGCTAGCACAGCATAAGCTCCTGTTATCAGTTAGAATGTACTGAACAAACTAGGATGAAGGAAGGGCAGAACATCCCGAAGATGCAGCAGACACCTACGACTACTGATGAGCTCCAATGGAAAGGAAGAGATGCCATGGACCAAGCCTACATTCCTAGCAAAAAAATCCAAATTATCGCTCTCACAGCTCATCAGGAAATATTCTCCATGTTCCAGCTGAACAAGATGAACGCTCCTTACAATTTTTGAAGTTCTGACACACTTCTTTCTGTATTTTAGTTCTCAGCATTTCCTTCTTCAAATTACTTTTTTAAGTGGTTTTGACTACCAAGAATACTTGAGTTCACTTTTTCTTAGGTGTTGATCTGAAGCACTGTTACTGCACCCTGTTGAAATCTGCTGTTTCTCATACTTATTTCAGGGCTAGGGTGTGATTAGTTTTATTTAGAGAAAATCCTGCTGTACAGGAGCCTGGAACTTCACAACAGGTGCTGGAATGAACCTAGCTCAAATAGAGCAACTTCAAAATAAAATCAAGAGGCACTTACATTTGGTGTCTGCACACTTTAGCGGCTGGCTGAGCTGGTCCAGCAGTACACAGTTGTATCCAATGGTTAAGAAATTTTCATACGCCCAAATGATTGTGAATAAAACTGTACTTTTACATGCAATCGAGTCATGCTTTCTCAACTGTTCCACCCACAAAAGGAGCTGGACAGCTCTTTGAAAAAGAAAGCAATCCACTCAGTTCAATCCACCCAACATGCAGTCAGCTCACGCTGCAGAGCAGCAGCTTGGGAGCTCCGGAGAAAAGAGGGCCAGCGGTGAGCCAGGAGCGCGGCTCTGCCAAAAGGGCTGTTCGCTGGGTGGCATCGTTCCCTCTGACTCCCGGCTGAACAAGGGGCACAGCCTGCTTCCCAGGGAGACATTAAAAACCTAAGCCTGGTAATGCCATCTTTAAAGACATTCTGGCACTTTTCATGTGCCCCAGCCACCTTTCATCTAGACATCTCCTGTAACTTCAGGCTGGTAAGATATTGAAGCAGAATTATTCTATTAAATTAAAAGAAATCCTACTACAGACATAGCAGGTATGAAGATACATGCACTTCTGGTAATACATTAGCTGTGTTCCACCCCACAGCTGGCTGCATTTCGATGTTGTTACAAAGCCCGTAAATCAGTTTTGAACATGCATCAATCTTCTTGCATTAAAAAAAAACCAAACCAAAAACCAAACAAAACCCACCACACTAAAATGTTAGTAACACATGGGGAAAACAAGTGTGAAAAGGACAGTATTTCTCACCTCCCATCAAACCTGTGCTTCAGGAAGTCAAAGAGAGCTTTCTGCATCATGTCTGTCACCTTTGCAGAGGTGAAGAAGATTTAACAGGGAGGATTGACAGGAAGAAAGAGAAGTCAAAAGTAAGAAAAGAGGTAAGTAGAAGGATACTGCCAACAATCAATACCTTTTATAGGTAGCAATCATTTAATTTTCATGCTCTTGGCAGCACGCTTTGTAATAAATACTTGCAAGTTTTCTGACTCATTCTCCAAAATGCGGAACGGAGGATGTGAGAGCTGTCACTCTTTCTGCTCTTGTCTTGACTTACACTGAGGCATTAGAGCATACCTCACCACCTTCCATAGCAATACCATTCCCAACAGGCTTCAGAACATGTCAGAAGCGTATGGGACTATTCGGGTTGAACAGATCATTTGTTTTTTCCTACAGTAACATTATTAGAACTGGCTTCAAATTTCAGATACAAGATTTAATGTGTTGGATGACTGTTCGAACAGAAGAGAACAACTATTCTCAGAGAGGCCTACAAGCAGAAAAAATGAAGGTTTTCATTCCTGTACAAGGGAAAGCATCCGAGAGAAGCTCAGCCTCAACAGCTGTCATCTACTTTATTGAGTGAGCTCCTTGTCCTTTCCAGGACAGCTCAGGCTGACACCTATTATCTGCCAGTCTAGACAGGAACTTAAATCAAAGCTCCCAGGCCTCTGGCAGTTTATTTCTCCTAGGTTGTCTTTCAAAATGGTTCTTAGAGAATTTAGTCAGGAAAACAAATAGTCAAAAGAATTTTCCCAGGTAGGTTGCAAAGTAATATCAATGTGCTTCTGTTATGTAGACCACTATTTGTAACTGAAATTAATATTGTAACTGTGTTACCATTTATACACCTTTATATGTTCAAGATGTCATGTTTAGTATTATTTTCTTAAACAAAGGCGTAGTTGTAGAGGTATGTAGTAACAAAAAGCCTCTATCCCCTCCGAACATGTGAGTCCCTAGGCAAATTAAGCTGTGGTGCAGCATCATGAAAGTCAATGGATGAAATTTACTCCTGTCAAGAAACATCACCATAAAATTAAAAGGCAGAGAGTAGAACATGAAGTACCTAATTCCTGCTTTGCTAAACTACACGTTCAATCATTCTTACAAAAAAAACAATGCAAGAACACTGCATTATGCTAATAATGGTACCATGTTGTAATCTTCCAAAAAGACCATTCCAATATGTTTAATATCCTATAAAGCACTAACAACATTAATTAAGCTAAATGAAGTGTATCTTTGATTTTATGTTCATGTTCCTTTAGTTCCTAATTCAGCAAAACACTTAACAGATGGTTAAGTTCACCAAAATGCCCTGCTAAAAGCCTATGCTTGTTTAGCACGCTTTAAATGCTCATTTGAATCTGCAGCAGACTTGAAAAATGCATGTCCTGTTTACCTGTGCACGTTATCATACCTACTTCCACGTTGAACACAGGCACATAATTTAGAAGGGTTAAAGGTTTCTTTACATATATATTTCAATGTACTAATAATCTTAAAAAAAATAAACATCAAGAAAACACACTGAAATAATAATCATCAATTCCCATATTCAGTTTGAGGAGCTGGAGAACAAAACTGAATACGCTGCAATACTCCAGCTACTTCATTTGCCAACACTAAGTTTCATAGGAAGATTTAAAGTTTTTATAAGTGAAAAAAGGAGAACAGTGGGGAAGCCTCTTCAAAATTTTTGCTAATTAAGTTCAAAGCATGTGCTAGTTTGACTAAAAGTTTACATGTATACAAAAGTCTAGCTAGTTAATTTGACTGCTCCAACTTTTTCTTGTGGTGGACACAATTCTCTTTTTCTTACTTCATTTAATCAAGAATAACTGTACTGAAAATAATGGATGTGCACTGTGTTTAAAGCAATAAAACTGCAAAGAGAGCATCGGTACTTATGCTACCTACCCTTCAGCTGAGACATCACAAGTAACAGACACTGTTGCCAAGGCAGAAAAAAATTCAGCTGGTACCTTGCCCTAACAGTGCAAAGTGCTAACTATGTTCTTAGTTCTTGTATAACATTTTTGACAATTACTTAAGCCAAGATCACTTTAAATTATCATAAAACAGTTGGACTGGACCACACACACTGAATGTACTAAGGAAGATTATAGGTAAGAAAATACTAACTAATTGCAAATACCTGGAATACATACCTCATAGCCTTTCAGTGATGGACCCACTAAGACAACAGGTCTCATTGATGGTACTACATCATATGGGGGAACATGTTCTGTCTAGAAGAAGAAAACAACCCTTCAGATCATTAATCGAAGAAGATCCATATGAAAATCCTGGGAATTATGTATTAGAACTAAATAAAATAAAATGGAAACAAAAATAATACTTACCACTTTTTGTTTCTGTTTTGCTAAAAGACCAAATGAGAACTTGGTTAAAAAACACACACTGTGTATAACAACCATAACACTTGCAAACAAAAATCCCTTTGTCAATGCGCTTTCAATTTCTCTCAGTTCACCTCCCTTTTGGCCAGCCCTGTTCAAATTGGTCATTCATTCGTTTCTGGGGCAGCTGCCACTTTTCCCAAGATTTTTTCCCAGTCCCTTAGCAACTACTGCATGTCTAGAAATAGATGTCTTTCTCCACCTCCGCACGCAAGCACTTTTCTGTAAAATGTCTTAATAAGTCAGCAAAGGGGGGAAACCCGCACTTTTCATGTACAGTTTTTAAAATAGAAGTATTAGATATAGCAAGAGTTTCCTTAAATAAAATTCTGTCTTACCCGTGGAAGTAGGTGTGGCTCGAAATGTGCCAGAAACCATTTCTCCAAGACTTGAAGAAGAATTTCCACTCGATTTCCTATGGTATCAGAAAGAGCCCCATTAATGCCAAGCACCCAGAGATGCAAATGCGTGAGGTTTCAGATAGCGGCTATGAGAAATTGCCCCATGAGAAATCACACGGTAAAGAAGAGTCTTCACCCACATTCGTGCTGCAGGAAAGCTTCCTCTGAAGCAAGAGGTGAAGAGTACCAGGCTGGGACGTGGGGAAACCAAAGCGTCTGTAATTAAGTAGACCTCCACGTCTGGAAGAGGTGCATATAGGCTATGAGGGGAGAGCAGGTTCCACTACAGCCTGAGCAAAGCTTTTCTGTGATCTGCCTGTAGGCTGGGAAATGCAACAGCTCTAGTCATAGACATCAGCTAAACTCAGCGCATAGCCCAGCTCCGCACGAGATCCCCCACCCAGCACTCCTCCGTCTTGCTGGGTCTCTCTACCAGCATGCATGACTAGCCAGACACATCTCTCAGGAGGTTTGGGATCTTAACTCTTGCTTTAAAGAGCCTTCGCTGTGTAGCAGCAGTGTTTTAAGTAGCTCCTTTTCCCATTCGCTGTACCTCCCTGCTTCCAGCTAGGCAGTTCTGCCCGTGCCCTGCCCTCCTCTCCCTGTGTGATGCACCCAGTACAACTGCTTGCGCAGCAAACACCCAGCAGACTGGAAGAGGAAACTGGTTTGGGGAGGGGGAAGATGTTCAGGTGAATCAGCTCTCTAATTCAGCTCATTGCACAAGCAGCTGAGGTGGAGATGGGAGGAGGGAAGGAAAGCTCAGGGCAGAAAGGACTATTTAAGCAACCTGATTGCCGCAGGGGACATACATCTTTAACACAGTATTTAGTATTTTCGTTACATACAGACTAACCAGCAAGAGGATACTAGTCCCAATCAGTACTTTGTCCTTGCTTTCTTGCCATATGCTCTCCAGAGCAGGGATTGTTTACTCCTGGACTTGGCAAATCCTTTGCGAACATGTACTACACTCTAGAAACCCTCTTTCATAGATGACTTTTCACTGCCTTACTCTGACAAAACTAGAATTCTTCTTCATCACATAGAGCCTTAGTATCACAGCTAGTCACAGCTTTTAAAGAAATCTTAAGGTACAGATACTATATGACTACATCTAACAAGGGTGCTCAAAAATAAACTATTTTATCATTATACATTACTTGCAATTTTATCATACAAATCCAGGAGTGTTAGTGCAGACCACTTAAAATCTTACTAAAGATCCTTTACAGTATTTCCCCTGTCTCTTTCATACTTGATTTTATTCCAAATATTCTCCACAGGTGACATTAGACAAAATCTTTGCAAGCATTGGTGATTTGGTGCAGTCATGTCCATTCATAGAAGCAGAGAATTTTTCTAATATGCTGTATCTGAAACAGTATCCTAAATACACTGTTAGCATCCATCTCTCTGAATTAGATGATCTTCTTTCTGTACATTTCAGATACACTAGCTTCCTCTGAACCTATTTAAAACATTATAAAAGCAATTTGGAAAAAGCACAATTGATGCTGTTCAATCATTCTAAAAACATTTCCCCAGATGGTTTATACTTGAAATTATTCCTGACCTTGATTAAGTATATTAGTATGCCAAATCCCTAACAGTACTATACAGGCTAAATTATGCTCCTCTTACTGCTATCTATTAGGTCCAGATTCAATTGGCTCACATCTCTTTACTCTGCAGTACTAAAGGTTTTGTTCTCCTTGTTATCTGTATGAACATTTAAATTTTGTTTTCAATTAGTGGGAATAATATGCTAGTAGTAATTTCTTTAAAAAGAGGGAAAAGTATTTTGTGTATTCAGCCAATAGAAGAATGACTTCAGTGACTGAACTGAGATTATGAGAAACCGGTTTTACTTCCTAGACCTGTGACCAAGTTTATACTTTCCCAGAGACTTGCAATCTCTGGCTCTAGCAGTGTGGAGACACTAAATGGTCAGGCTGGAAGATGAAGAATTAAGGAAGCTGAATGACATAGCTCATCTCTAAAGTTTGGAAAGTCTGGTTTTGGCCAAAATGAAGAGAAAGAAAAAAAAAGAAAGAAAAACCCCACAACCTTGAGAACATAACAGTTGGGAAAAAAATCTGGCAGGCTTTGAGCACCAAGCTGACTTTAACCCATGGGGACTTAAAACTCTCTAGCCCTTCAGAAATTTCTGTCATTACCACTCATACCGTATTACTGATTTTTCCTAAAATCAATACACATTTTTTTCTTGTTTATTATCGTCAATATCTAACATGTCTATTCTCTGCAAATATGTATTTTCATTTGGAATCCCAAATCAAACACTCCTCCAAATGCACTGCAATAAAAAAGAATCAAGTGACCTTTGAAAATATTGTCCGGTGTCAGAAATGATTTTAAATTATTTTAAAAGGTTACAGCATTCTTACCCTCCATGGAAACGTCCTCTCTTCTGCTCCTGTTGAATGCGGATATTCTCCAGTCTAAGCGGGCTTGGAATAAAGCCAATCTCGCAGCCCTCCTTAACCAGCCTTCCTATCCACCAGTCATTATTATATTTCTGGAACATAGAAAGGTTACTGGCTTCGGTCCAAAACTCCCTTATTTTGTTACCCACAATCCTTAACTCCATACTGGTCAATGAAACCAGACTCACACTGACATCTGAATGCTGGACAATCTGTACGAATTTAAGTTAAGTTATAAGGTGCTAGGCAGTATTCGGAAGGTTGATGTCTTCTCTGCAGCTGGACAACAGTGGAAAGCAGTGTTACCTATGGCAGTACTGGCTTATCTCTTAACTGCCCCAACACATCCTGCTGTGACTTTTCCTTTGACGTCACCAACTAAGGTGCTGAGTGTGATGGTGGTTTAATGAGAAGAACCAATTTCTGGTGAACCAAGGCCACCAAACTACCTCACAGCAGCCATATAAAGCAGTCAAACATAAAAATAACACCTTTAGATTACCATCAAAACCATTGTTATTGGTTCCTTGTAGAATTTAATGGTCCACACCAAAGACCGCCACAGCCACTTTTCCTTCCTCCTTTCCAGGTGCTTTTACGGATGTTATTAACATGTTATCCCTTTGCAAAAACCTTGTGTGGTGGAAAAGCTCTACAAACACCATTCTAGAAACCAAAGTAAAGAAAGACCAACCTATCCAAGACAACACAGAAAACTTACCAGCTCCAGCAACGAACCAAACTCGTACCTGGTTAATGCTATGGTGGAGCTCTAACCAAAGTTGTGACACCTCTCTACAAATGAGGCTTTTATAGTGCCCCTGCCTAGAAAGAGCTAAACTCTTTGGAGGCATACACTTTTAAATTTACGACAGTTGAAGAAAAATTCAGCCTTAGGAAGAAATTTTAATATATACCTGAAAGTATAAAATTTAATTTTATCATTAACCCTTAGTAACATATGTTTTTCTGTATTACTGAAAGTCTGGCCTAACTTTAACGATTGAAAGATGAAAAGCAGTATCATAGTGGATGTCACGGTGGAAAAGGATTTGTTGTAGCTGGCTGCCAGCAGCACTTTTGAAGAAAAATATCTGAAAACCTTATACTGTGCTATGGTTCATTAGGCACCTCAGTGCTCAAAACAAACATTACTTTTCACAACCGACTTTCAAGTCATTAAGACCAGCATGAGTATACCAATTTTGTTTGCATGCCTTGAGGAAAAAGTTATCAGAGAAGTCTCGTCTTAAAAATTATCAGTTCTTTTGGCCCCACATTCTCAAGCACTTAAGTTCTTGCAGAAACACATAAATACCATGTCCTAGTTGTTAAAGGTACAACAGTGCCTAACTGAAGTCTCTGAAACATATAGAGCCTCAACATCTTTGAAAAATAAACTAGCCTTTTTATTAAACCATACACACACACCCCCCCACAGAGATACACAGCTAAGGAAATACAATCCTTACACCCTCATCTTGAAAACCTGTCCTCTTTATATAGCTGTTATTTATGCAAGAGGTTCCATTACTTTATCATTTCAACTTTTAAACTATTTATTCTTCGTGCTGTTATGACCCTGATTCAGACAATGTCAGTAAGCAAAGCTTAATTTTAAATATGTTGCTTCTGCTTAAGTGGACAGAACTATTTATGTTCTTTAAAATAGACAAATACTTGAAAATCTTGCATTCTGCTGTTGTAAATCAGTGAAATCAATCAATGGATTTAAACCACTGTAAAATCTGAGTCCCATGAGCATTACCCATTCTTTTTTTGGTTCTAAATGTACGGCTTGAACATGGGAATCTTTCTTCCCTTAGCAGGTCATGGACCTCTGAGTGATGCCTCTAGACATGAGATCAGAATCAGCGTTATGCTGAGAATATCTGCACAATACAAATGATAACGATGCAGCAAGGAATACAGGCTATTTGCATTAGGTCATTACCTCCCATATGTTATTCTTCACATTCAGCATGTGGGAGGACTACAGTTCATTCCTATTGGTTGCCATGCCCATGATTTCTTCTGCATTGTCAGTAATTGTTGCCACTTCATCTTTTAAGTAAGCACATATAGTCTTGTAGGAGACAGATGAGACATACAGGACACATTCTCAATATAGCAACTCATCAGTTACTGCTGATGTTTCATGCTGTCAGCAGGGTGACCTTACTTCTCACCTAGTTTAGCATTATTCTAAAATCTGGAACCATGCTCGTTCTAGTCCAAGCAAGCCTGCCAGATCATTGAAAGACAAATTCTGCAAAGCCTTCTTCCATGCAGCTAGACTCCAGCATGGGGAACCATTCCTGAAATCCTACTGAGTTACAGCCATAGCTTCAGGCAAGCTGAAGGTTTCAGCGTTAACAAAGAAGCTATGATAAACCCTTAGCAGAGCTAACAAATACCAGTAAGCCAGATGGCTTACAGTTTAGTGGCAATGCAATCCTGGCCATTTAAATCTTGAAAGAAAACACACAGAATGCCAAGACATGGACTTGGGATGCTTTTCCGGAAAAACGTACAGGGCAGCGCAACAGGAGCTTAGTAAATTAAATTCGATCACTGGCCTGACAATAAAGGTAGCCACATCCTAGGAAAGCCAATATCAAATACTTGTTTTAATGGTGATGTATTGAGTTATCTGAATGGTTACACAGGAGAATGTACACTAGAAAGATAGTACGTCAGGTAGGGTACATTTCTGGTGTGGGTGGGAAAACATCGGGGAAGGCAGCTGAGAAAGTGATCTGAGAGCTGTAATGGATGCACCTATCTGCATTCAACTCTGAGTGCTAGCGAAGGACATTTTCCTGATGGGAAGCAGGTTTAGAAAGTGGCATACATCAAGGGAGTTCAGGTGTGGTGCTAGACAGAACAGAACACATTCTTGGGGAACTACGAGGAGGGGCAATCAATTCTGCATGCAGAGACAGGCAGATTCAGATTCAGTGCTCCACTTCCTCAGCAGGGATTTAAGTAGTTCCACACAAATACTAAAAAAAAAGAAGCACACAAAAGAAACAAAAAAATCCAAATCAAATTGCCATCTGTTTGCAGCAAATTGAGAAAATGGAACAAGGGAATCAACTGCCTTCCTGTGTCCTTCTCAGGGAGAAAGAATCTAAAGCAAAAACCCCTGTCCTACCACCAACCTCTGCCTCTAGAGGTGCAGAAGCAAGTGTTTTCCTCTTAAATGTGCTCAGTCTAAGGGACATCAGTGCTCTGAAGTGATGACAGACACATTCAAAGAAAGGGACAAATGAGTACTCAACACCCTAAAATAAACCCAGAATGCAGAGATGAAAAAATGTTTTTGCAAGCTGCAAGCCTATGTACAAATCTACAAAACAGGGGTTTATGCAAATTTGGAGGGCTCACTTCAGATAAAGAATTGCAGAAAATATGCTCAACATGCAATAAAATTTGTTTTTCTCTATCAAAGTTATACTCAGGGCCCATTTATTCCCATTCCTTCTTCCTGGTTTTTGTACCTGTCCTCTTCAATATTTTCTTTTCTTATTGCATTATTCTAAGTTTTATTTCCTCCCTTACAAGCCTATCTGGTGCTTTATTAAGACCTGGTGTCACCTAGTGCTACTCTACTTTCTGATCAACAGAATCCCTTTCTATTACATAATCTCTGATGCATCACAAACTTCATTTGATGAAAATAATCTGGATCTACAATGTTGAAGGGTATTTAAAATATAACAAGATGTCATTTCCTACCTGTGACATGAAAATCCAACAACTCAGCAACATCAAGCGTTAAAAAAGTGCAAGATAACCATCCCACAGTGCTGGAACTCTAAAAAGGCTGAAGTACCACCATATCATCACTAATCAGACAGATGTGCTGTGCTCTCCTGCCTCCACTCAGCTCTTGGCTCTCTTTTTAATATGGTATAGCTCAGCCCCAACTTTTCAAATTGTAGTCCTTGGCATATAAAAAGATTCCCTTTCACATTCCCTTTTACTACTTCTTTGTTTTACCTCTTTAATGTGTAGGAAGTCCTTGGCATCAAAAGAGATGGCAGTGCTTGGGACAGGAACATCTTCATCCAGAGCGCCACAGTAACTCACATTAGTCTTAACAGCAAATGCTACTGGTTTGGACTACAAATAGAAACACACATCACAAACAGTGGAAACTTTTCTGAATCAAGAATTGTATCGAATTACCGAAAACCTAGCAGAGGACATTTGACAAATACATCAAAATTCAGACCTAATAATTTCACACATGCCAGCAGAGTTCAGCTCGCCAGAGAAGATCCCCATTTATACAAGAATATTTACACTATATTCCCCCGAACATCTTGTCTGCAGAAAACTTGTCTCAATTGCCAAACTACTTCAAAAGATAGCATCATCATTATAAACCAACAGTATGCATTTTAACACTAGGCAAAAGATAAATGCCACATAACTTAGTTATTATTAAAGTTGAAAAGAACACACCTTCGCCCTTTCAAGTTGTATAGCGGCTTGTTGTTCTCTTTCTTGGCGGATGGCTTCCCTATCTTCTTCCAAAGAGACATCAGAGTCTGAAGGTCTGCTTGTGTACGAATCTGCTGAGCCCTGAAATGAAATTCATATCACTAAGAAAACGTATGTAAGAAATAGAAATCCCCTCCCAGTCAGATTCATAAAATACTTTACAAATATTTGTTTCCTAATTTCTTTGAGTGGGTTTTACATATTGTTGCTAGCACAAAAAATCTGCAGAATTTAGCAGAGAAATAACCTGGCTTTACTGATCAGGTGCACTAAGCCAAAGACAAAAATCCCAAGAAAAACCTCTCTCTCCACTCTCAAAGAATCTCTTCACTTTCTTACTGACACGGTGAAATACAGCTCAGTTGTGGGCACTGTCCAGAAATCTTTATAATGTTTAAATCGTGTTTGACAACCTTAGATGCAAGACTGTCAAGGGCTAGGTCACATCAAATATAATTAAGGTATTATAAAGTTGGTTAGAATCACCCCTCCCCGTAAATACAGTACCATTGTGTAAGTACTTCCCTCCCTGCTGTGGGTGCCACTCACATAAAGCTTTGCTCTGTGCTTCAAGAGGGAAAAAGTGGCAAAAGTCACATTATTAAAAGCTACTCAACAGGGCAACACAAAAGCTATACAATGATATGAAATGAAAACAGCACATACAAGCAGCAGCAGAATGCAACAGCCTGTAAGGGAGGAAATAAGGTACCACCACAGTTAGATTATTTTTTTTTTGTCTGGGACATTATTCAGGACACCTGGCAACATCTGAAGTATGCAGTGGCTTCTCTCTTCTTTTTATAAAGCAACCTGACTCCAGCATCCTACACTGCTTATCTTTATGTTTGTGTGGAGCCAACTAAAAGACAGGGGTTTAATCTTGCAAAAAAGGTAAGGTACGGCAAAGGGAATGTTTACTCATGCTGAATCTGAAATACCAATCCCCCTCTCTCCAAAACCTCAAGCACACACTTGACCCAGAAGCCTAGCAAGTCTAGGACTGGAACCTAGACTTCAAGGAGCACCACTGATGGAGATGCGTACAACCGGGCATTCATACAAAAGGTAAATTTTCACTATAGGCAGAAACTCCTACAAAGATCTCAAAATCCTCAAGTGTAGGTCTAAATTTCCACTCAAGGTAAATGTTAAACAGGAAATATATGTCCCTTATTGAGCCATTCCCCAAGCAAACTGAATTTTTACTAATAAATTAATATGTCTGTTTGGTGAACGATGGCCTTTGCTTAAGCCAGACTCCAGCCTTGCAGAATCCTGTTCTGTTCCATGAAGCACTTGACTAATTCATGTTTGGGTCATTAGTCTGCTCCCAGCTTGGAAGCCGTCTGCATTTCAGCCTCCCCAGCCTGACGCTCTGCACTGGCGGCAGGTGACATGCAGCAATCACACAGTCCCCAGGTTCTGGATCACAGCACTCAGCTGGGCTGGTAATGGCTGCTGTAAAAGTCAGTATATGAAGTTTAGCGTAAAGAGCTGCACAGTGTTTGCACTGTAGTCTAACTTTTTAACCTACATATTTTGCATGTCTTAGGAAAAATAACTACACAAAACCACTATCATAAAAAAAGAGAATTTCAAAAGGATCAGGTTAATGCAGAGCTGCAGAGCGGGCCCCAGTACTGTACTCAGTAGGAGGAATATATGGCAATGTATGACCACTGCTAAGAGACACTGTTTCTGTTTTTAAATATGGGAAAGGAGTAATGTGCTGGACTACATATGGTGTATTGTATTATATAACCAGTGTAACAAATGATTTCTAACTCATCACATTTCTAGCAACAAATTGAAGACATGTATCATATATATCTACGTATTTGTATCTCTATAGAGCTCCAAAATCTGTAACTCTATATGCGTTGCAAAAGGGCCATTCTACAGCATTATGCCTTTCAATTTTTTTTTTTCCTTAAACTGATTTACGTCCTGCAGCACAGGAACACATATTCTATGTAATCTACCATAGAAGTCAATGTTCTGACTCTCCATGTAAACTAACGTACTCTTAAATATTGGTGTGAATACATATCCATTAGAAGACTTCTGGCAATGAACCACTGATGAGCATATGCTCTCTTCTTGCCACAAACTCATAACTTGGCCATAAGCATGGTACAGTCACTAGGGAGGGCAGATTTCCTCTATGTCAAGAACAGGATTTGCCTAACATGAGCTAACACGCAGCTATGATCTTAACGGACCAGAAAAATCCCTTCCCAGGACAGCTGGCCACCCTGCAGCCCACGCACCAAGGTGAGCTGGAAAAGGGCAGGGTGCCTCTCAGCAGCCAGGTGTCCGCAAAAACACACGCGTTTGGGGTCCTGAGCTGGAACAAGTCTAAACCAACAGGCTGAAAACCAGCGTTAGCTGCTGGCAGCAGCACAAGCTTTTTCCTAGCTCGGAAGCTAGGCATGCTGCTCTTCCTTCTGCTTCCTTCGGGATGTAGCAGAGACCAGGGAACTCACCAGCCGCAGCACTTGGCTAGACGTGCACCAAAGACACCTCCCGGGCTGCTCAGTGGCTGCCAGTTATTCCTCTCTCCCCATCTTGGGGGCAAGATTAAAACTTCAGCTACCAAATGCATCACCAACAGCGGCGTAAGAACATTTCTTCCCTGATCAGAAGTGAGAGTGCAAAGCATGCCAACTCATCACACCTAGGTGAAATGGGTAGCAGGAAACCTCCTGCCTAGCCTACTGTTCCAACCTGCATCTCTGTTCAGCAACTGAAGGGGAAGCCTATCAGTGGGAGACTGAATTTATATGGTCAAATATTCTAGTCCTAAAATTATAGCCTGTTCTCCACACCAGAGCCTGCATTGTCCAAAGCAATGGAAAAAAAGGAAATAATAATAAAAAAAAAAACCCCAAAAAACACCCCAAACCCACAACAAAAAAACCAACAGACCAGGAGTTGCAAAGGCAGACCAACTTTATGGTAGAGAAGAACAGCTTATAATTTATTGTCCACTAAAGATACACCCTGAAGATAGAAAATCCTTTATAGCTGCTGATCATCATATTTTTTTACTTACAGACAACAAAGCTTCAATAGCAGCAGAAAGGAAGAAGGAAAAATAATCACACTCTCCAAATAATAAATCAAAACGCATAATAATAAATACAAATAATACACTGCAGCAGGAATGGGCTTCTTTCCAAGATTTTGGTCCTACCTGGCATAATACACTGCAACAGGAACGCACCACATCCTGGCATGCCTGAAGCCTGAGACAAAGCCACTACTGCTGTCACAAGAGTACCAGACACTGTTCCTCACCCACGTGCTCTCTGACCATGTCATTTCCCCCTTAATTTTCTATGTACTGAAAAGTGTATGAGAACAAGGCACAGAACACATCACTGACAGGACAGATATCAGCATCACGCACGTAGGTGGACTGCAGAAATCATCTGCATGGGGAAATGGTGAACAAAAAGTGCACAGGCTCATATCTATATATTTATTCAAGTCCTCTGGATAGGATTCCGTGTAGCTCTGTAAGGCAATTTAATAGAAATAGATACCTATGCTGGATGCACAGTTTCCCATACTGGCTTTTAGTAGTATATGTTTGAGCACTGACCTATTTAATGCTGTCAGAAGAAAGTAGTCTTAACCAAAGCAGCTGATACCGCAAGGCTACCCCAGGCTGCTCTTCAACGCTAATCACTGCCTGTATGCCAAATGATATGGATTGGTACAATCACATCTGCATGATCCTTCTTTTGCAAGTTATGCCAAATAGCAAGTGGCTTATCTGAAAGATGCAGCCCCAGGACTGTGACTCACATGATGCTGAACTGCAGCATCACACTGAAAACAAGGCACAATTCTGCAAATAGCAGCAAGATGGGCAGAAAAAGCAGTCCAAGGTAAGTAATGGAAATTGGCATTCTGTAACGTACCGTAAGCATGGGCCAAGGAACGTGAGTGCCCGCATTCAGTCAGAGCAGAAGACCAAGCAAGATTAAGGTTTACTTTTCTCAGCTCCATCACTGCCCCACACTGAGCAAGACTACACCGTCCTATCGGGTATGCACATTTACCCTCGCAAGTCATCTCACTGACTTACTTCCCAGTCATCTCTCATACTTCTGTGAACACCACCCTTGATTTCTGTGCTCTGCATTCACCAGCCAAGATGCATTTGTAGTTACACTGGACACCTGGCAGCAGTGACTTTGACTCACAAAACAGGACTCAGAATCTGATTAAGGCTTCCAGGAACTACTACAACCCAAGCAGTCCATAAATTAAAAATAACCCTTGTTACCCTCAGAAGTCCAGCTTTTCACTATTTTTTAAACCCGTGCACAGACAAAAGCATCAGTTCTTGTATTTAATTTTCAGTTATGTTTAAAATTTTTGATTGAAGATCAGAATATTGACAGCAATATTGACAGAACACTGTGCAACAAACCAACACAAACACTCATGCCTGTACAGCACCAAGTGCAATGAAGTTCTGGACTGACAGCTCTTAGTTGTTGAAACTGCAATAGATGTGATGATACTAAATACTATGATGCATCCATGCTCTCGTCACAGCTGGGAAAGTATAACTGACTGCCTGACTACACACTGAAAAACCAAATTACGTTAGTAGTCTAAGGGAAGTGAGAGGAGAAGAAAGAAGAAAGAAGGCATTCCCCACCTTTTTCTGTACACCAAAACTTTATCAAAAAGACCCTTTAATTTCTTTATTTTCATATTGCTTAGAGCAGCAAGCTGATAATTTAGGACCTATCGCATATGTCCACAGTTTGACATTTGCACATAATATTCAAGGACCAATCAGCATGCTAGCTGTTACCCAACCTCAACCTCACAACCCTCTGGGAGACAGAGGAACTTTGTGAAGTGGGAGCATATGCAATGAGTTGAAGTGCACACCAGATTTGACAATTTTGAAGGCAACAGGCCTTGCTAGATAATTATATTATTCAAGGCAATGAAAGACTCGTTTCTTATGTCACAGCCTTTTTACTTTGGCCTTCTGTGAATTTATTTTTCTTGCAATTTATTATTTATTTTCTCCCTCACTCATTTTCCTCTCTCA